AATAACCCAATCAAAAAATGAGCAGTAGAGCTAAATAGACATATCTCCAAAGAAGATATACAGATGGTGAGCAGGCACGTGAAAAATATGCTTATTATCACTTACTATCAGGGAAATTCAAGTCAAAACTGCTATTAGATACCACCTCATTCCTGTGAGAATGGCCTATATCAAAAAGACCAAAAACAAGCGCTGGCGAAGATGTGGAGAAAAAGGAAATGCAGCACTGTGAAGCTATACACAGCTACTGCAGCACAAGTTCAATCCCCAGCCAGGGAGGTGACCCACATAGTACAGCAAACCTCTCCTGTCTCGCCCACTGCTCCCCTCAGCAATGTATTTTGGTCAGTCTGCCTGTTCTGTTCCCCACTGTTTCGGGTGAATCCCCTCACCCTCCCACGCATCTGGCCTGTACCCCGGTTCTTGTATGCATGAATAAATAAATCTTTAAAAAAAAAAATAGGGCCTCCCTGGTGGTGCAGGCAGTTGAGCGCAGCGCTGTGAAGCTATCCGCAGCCTCTGCAGCATGGGTTCAATCCTGGCCGGCTGGCAAGAATCCCACATGGCACAGCAGACCTCTCCTGTCTCGCCTGCTGCTCCCCCAGCAGTGTATTTCGTCAGTCTGCCTGTTCTGTTCCCCGCTCTGTCTCTGGTGAATCCTCTCTCCCCTCACATCTCTGGCCTGTACCCCAGCTCTTGTATGTATAAATAAATAAATCTTAAAAAAAAAAAAAAAGATTAAATGGGTCTATCATATGATCCAGCATGTCCACTCCTAGGTATCTACCTGAAGAACACAAATACACTAATTTGAAGGGAAACTTACACTCCCAAGTTCAAGCATTATTTATAATAGTGAAACTATGGAAACAACCTAAGTGCCCAAAACCAGATGAATGGATCAAGACAATGTGGTGTGTACATACACACACACTGTAATATTCCTCAGTGATTACAAAAGATAAACTCATGCCACTTGTGGCAATGTGGATGGTGGTGGAAGGGATTATGCTAAGTGATGTTAGTCAGGAGAAAGACAAATAATGGCTGGTGTCATTTAGGTGTAGAATACAGAGAAACCAGACAAAGGGCCAAGACAAAGAACCTTTCTTAATGTGGTGATCTGGTCCCCGCATTCTTTTTTTTTTAAAGATTTATTTATTTATTTATATAAGCACTAGGTACAGTCAGAAGCACAGGAGGGTGAGAGGACTCACCAGAGCCAGAGCGGGGGACAGAACAGGCAGACGATGAAATACACTGCTGAGGGAAGCTGCAAGACAGGAGAGGTCTGCGTGCCATGTGGGACCCTCGCCCGGCAGCCGGGGATCGAACTGGTGCTGCAGAGGCTGCGGGCAGCTTCGCAACCCAGCGCTCAACTGCTGCGCCACCGGGGAGGCCCTGATCTGGTCCCTTTACACGAGATTGCTAGTAAACTTCTTCCACCATCTTGAAAGAGTATTCCACATCCCTGTGTATGTATGTTGCAAAGGTTAACAAACTTTATATTCTACACCTGTTTCTCATATGATCAATGTCTTCTGGACAATTTTATTTTCTCCTTCATAGAACTTTGCTTTTTGGCAAGTTCTTAAAAACTTTTAATTCCTTCATATTCCAAATCCTTTTAATCTTTCCTCTTATATATCATTTCATACCTTCTTCTTATTTAGATTGGTGTTCTAACTTCTCATTTCCTAAAATACAGTGCCCATAATATAAACATTGTTGAAATTAAACACTTCAAAACATAACACACCTCCCGGTCCACAGAAAGATAGCATGAAATATAATCTTTCACCATTAAGTTATTTTTCAAGTAAAATTTCAGGTTCTTAGCAAATACTCACCTTTTTTGTTAAACTGGTTCTCTGGGCTTCTTTTATTTTTTTTTTTATTTTTTTATTTTTTTTTTTTTATAGAGGCATGTTTTATTTATTTATTTGTTTGTTTGGTCGTTTTTTTTTTTTTTTTTGTTTCGTTTTTACACATGCACTGGGTACAGTCAGAAGCACGGGAGGGTGAGAGAATTCACCAGAGCCAGAGCGGGGAGCAGAACAGGCAGAAGGACCGAAGTACACTGCTGAGGGGAGCAGCGGGCGCCAGGAGAGGTCTGCGCGCCATGTGGGACCCTCCTCTGGTGGCCGGGGAGCAGCCGGGGATCGAACCGGTGCCGCAGAGGCTGCGGGCAGCTTCGCAACCCAGCGCTCAACCGCTGCGCCACCGGGGAGGTCTCTGGGCTTCTTTTAATCCTTTATCTGTACCCTAGTAAACCATGATATGCCAATTGCTTGCCTGTTTAACTTTTTCACCAAAGAACTAAAATTATATACTAAAAGAGAATCAAGCCTCTATTTCAGTCTTGCAACTTGTAACTGAATATCAAAGAAAACTACAATAAGCTGGGCCCAAACAACTACTCCTTAAATAAAACAGTGATATACCAGTCAGTATTTAACATTGTGTCTTATGTAAGAAACATCTTTAAAATAATCAACAGAAAATGTGTGGTGAATAAAAACAAAAGATTTTTTGTTTCAATTTATTTCCTTCAAGTGCTTTTAGGTATGGATAAAAAACTCTAAAGAATTGGGCCTCCCTGGTGGCACAGGGGTTGAGCACCCGCACTATGAAGCACTATGAAGCAACCCACATGGCGCGGCAGACCTCTTCTGTCTCGCCCTCTGCTCCCCTCAGCAATGTATTTCTGTCAGTCTTCCTGTTCTGTTCCCCACTCTGTCTCTGGTGGGTCCTCTCACCCCCTACATCTCTGGCCTGTACTCCAGCTCTTATATGTACAAATAAATCTTTAAAAAACAAACAAAACCTCTAAAGAATGGCTTACCACAGTCTGTATGTTATGAATATAACTTGAAAAAAAGACACAACTTGCAATGTATAAATCACAAACGAGAGGAAACTTCTCATGAACTCTGTGGATTCAAATCTCTATTCTGAAAAGACAGGCATCCTTCTATAACTTACTCTTTACCATATGGTAAATGGCTTGACAACAAAAGCAAAAAGCCAGTTTGTCAAACTGCATCTTATTGATAAGACCTTTATTTAGCTGACTGCTCCACATATGCTACACATCAAAAGGAGAGAATGCAAGTCAGGTTAGGACAGGTACCCTCCATTTGTTACCACCAAGCCATCAAACAACATCTGGTTAACAGGAAATATTATATACAATAGAGTAAGAGGCATTTCAAAGTTTAACAAATGAAACAAAGGAGGTATTTGATTAAGAAGTGACATTTTTACAAATCCTTACATCCAAAGATAAAGAGCTATGTAACTCTTAACTAAGCCTCAGAAGTAAGTTCCCTACAATTTCATGGGTCACTGGTTTGTATCCTAACACCAGCGAAAGCTATATAGTTTATTGACCAAGTGGAGCTAAACAACTGACAGAACACTGTTATTCACCTTCTGTAGTGCAACAAGAATCATTAATAAATTAGGATTTTTATTTAATTGATGATTCTGCTTCACAACATTGTATATGATTAAGAGGTATAGGATGGTACCCTTCAGATGTATATTATCACATTAACAGGCACCACCTGAACTAGATTTTTAAATGGTCTGTCTCAGTGAGTGCCTATGCTTTGCTTACTGTACTCATCCCCACTGGGGAAGCCATAATGCAGCTCCTAGAACACTGGAAACACAGCTGGAAACACATGGTCTGAGCTGTCCTTTCCTGAATTATTTGGGTAATATTGTGAAGAGAATACTAGGCATTTGCCTGAAATAATATAGCACAGATAGCCTTAGTTGACCCTCAAAACTAAGAGAAACAATAACTCTTAGAGGTAGTTTCCCGAGTGTCTATTACTGATTTCTAAACTCACAGATTCAAACTGGTAGGCTGTTGTAAAATGACAAAGAACATCACTCTTAATAATTTGAAGCGAATAGCGATGAGAATGTCTATGTGAATAAATGTCACCAGAAAGCATGCTTCTTTATGGTTTGGGGTTGGAGGAAGGGAGAGGAAGTGAAAAGCCACACACTTTTCTGTACCTATCAGATTTGAGAAATTACTGGGTTCATACAGAGTTCTGCTGCAGTAGGGAAACCTGTTCTGCTGATCACCATGCATAAAGGTGATGAACATGCACAGACTGCTAAAAGATAATGAGCTTAAAAGAATCTTTTTTTTTTTTTTAATACTCATGCTCCCATCCTTCAAAAGTTAGGAGTGGGAAGGAGAAAGAGGAAATGATTTCAATGTTTACCTGCTTAGGCAATACATTCACTTGTTATTTAATCAATGAAAAGAGAACAGATATAATATCTGAAACTTAGGAGCTCAGAATAAAAGAAAAAGTCTTTTGGGATAGATGGGGCATCTTTATTAATAATGACTTAGGTAAGTAAAGAATCTAAAGGATGAGGTTTACTAACTGCAGAGTTTTATTTTATAAGGGTGTATCACTTAATTTCTTCAAGTGCGATTTAATCTCAACCTATCCAGCTTTTGACAGTTAAAATATCTGAGGTTTTGGATGGGTTAAAGGATTTGTCCAGGGTCACATTTGTTAAAAGCAGTGCTAGAAAAGGATACCTGTGTCACTGCTAATCAGACAAGTTTCAATATTCTTTTGTTTCTGCATGACAGCAACAATCATTGTTTTACCCAAATTTTGTTTTCTTCTAAAAAGTGAGTTGGGATTTTCCCTCCTTCTCTACAAACAAGTGTTAAGTGATAAAGGATTAAACCAGAATACCTCTGCCTGCACACATTCTCAAAACTGAAACAAAGAGCTGTGACCAGTAAATAACACAATGGGTCAAAATGTCATCTATTTTCAGAAATTTGAGGGCTCACACAAACCCAAGACATTCTGCAAATGCCTCGCTCAGATATTTTTCAAAAATCTAGAACATGGTTTCAAAAGGAATTTTGTAGTCAAGCCTCCTTAGCATACAAGTCACTAGGATTTCATTTTCAACATTACTCTTTTTCCACCTTTCTTGTTTCTTACTAGGAGGAAGGCAGAAGAAGATTCAACTCTCAGTGATTCTCTAAAAACATCTGTTTAATCTGTGGCTCCTGGCTTCCTCCCAGAAGTAACAACGGCCACCAAGGCACCAAGAACGAACAAAACAGCCACTCTGTGAAAAGCATTTCCTTTCTCATAAGATGACATGGACTGGGCCACCCAGACTACTCCATGGCACTGGGCTAGCAGCTGCTGCTGATGTTGCTAAGAGTAAGTATGTGTTATGATTGACAAGGAAACAAATGCCAAGAGATTAGAGTGGAGTGTAAAATTTATATACTTCAAAATGGATGGGTGGGTGGCTTTCTAAATTGGAGCAAAGGAATTCATTTCCCTAGAAGAGTACCAGATCTTTTCCCTAGTTGTTTCCTTTGTGGCAGGATCTGAACCACTGAGTTAAACATAAGCTACAGTGATTTCAAAGTTTGTAAAAAGAATTTTTTCTTTATGAAACTAACTTGTCGGTCTTTCAACCTCTCTGTGAAGTTGCAGCAAGTGTTAACTCTAAGATGAGGCTCAGGTGACTTTCTTAAGGTCATGTAAGTTAGCAAGAGATGAGCAAATAACCCCAAAAGTACTCCCACTAGTCTATACCTCTAACCACTATACCACACACGCTCACGTCTGATTCATTTTAAGAACTGACTATACATTAGGATTTCAAAGGCTCACTTGTATATGCTCTTCAAAGAGCTTTCAAATCTGTCATTACAAAAAAATACATGCTAATGAAAACTGACCATTCTATTGCTTCTAATTCATCCATTCTCTGTCACAGCCAAGGATCGCCTTCCAACATCATTAACTAATGAAGAAGACTACAAGAAACCTAAGAAATATCTCAGTGAACAAATCCCGGTAACAGCTAAAGCAACTAATTCAGCACACCTCTACCTACCACACTAATAAATGCATTAGAATTAAGGGCCATGTTCTCAATTATGTCTGCGTAGATTTTAATCACATGGGGACCAAGTGTTAACAAAAGTAACAAAGTAAATGAGACCTTTACAAAGACACATGACAAAGCAGAAGGAAACACAGTCCAAAAGAAAGGTCTCATCTACAGGAATTTATACAAGGCAGGTATTAGTTCTACCTGCGGAGAAGTTAAAGGAGGTTTCTAAGAGATGGTGACATTTGACTTGGGCATTAAAACTAGAACAGCAATACAGAAAGGAAAGGCTTAAATTTAAGCACAGGTCACTGCTAACAGGGATGCTTGTAGGAGAAACAGTGGACACAATGTAAGGGCACATAGAAAATAAATTAGAGAGGCAGGTTGGGGCCACTTTAGGAGGGCCTTAAATTTCAAAATTATGTGGTAGGGACAGGGGCATCCTGAGGTTTCTGAACAAAGGCTTGCCCCATCAAAGCCAAACTAAACTTATAAATGGAGGAAGGATGGACTAACTGAGGGAAGAGACCACATGGTGGAGTAGTTCAGGAAGACTATAATGGCAGCAGTGCAGGCAAGTAATAAAGGCCTGATGTGGGTTAGCAGCAGTCAGAAAAGAGAGAAACCATGGCTATGAGATGTTACAAAGGCAGGGCTTAGCAAGTGATTACACAGGAGAGAGAGACGGACAAGAGAAGCACCAAAGACAAGTCATTTCAATTCTGGGTAATGAGGAAGATGGTACCAAAAGAAATGAGACATTTGAAAGGGAAGATGAGCTTGGTCTCAGATTTAAGAGTTTGAACTGCTTGAGAGACATACAAATGTAGTTGCCCAGGAAAAAAATTAAAAATTTTGGTCTGCGACCTATGTTATAGCTGGGGGAGTGAAGGAGTGAGGGTACAAGTAGTATCTGATTAGGATGACAACTTTCTTCCTACCGTAACTCCACTAACAATTATAGTTGTAATTGATTTCTTGTAATTCTGATTTCTTGAACTAATCTTGCTAGCAGTTCTCTGAATCTTTTGCATTTTTTTATTATTTAAATATTTTATTTTATATAATTCTTACATCTTTTTTCATTTTTGCACAATGTATGCATTTTCATTTTGGTTATATTCCCCATACAATTGCCCCCCCCCTTTATTTTGACTCTAGTCCTTCCTCTCCCCGCCCTTCCCTCCCCCTCTTGTGCATTCTTATCTTAGGTTTTTTATTCATAAGAAATACAACCTGAGATCAATACAACAACCTGCTTTCTCCATACCAATAGGATGGCTAAAAACTACTGGAGGTGGGGGAGTGGAGGAAGAAGGAACTCTGAAGATTGATACTACTATAAATCTGTGCTCTCTAGTCTCATCTGAGTACTCAGTCACTTGTCAATTTTCTTTAGCCGTGGATTAGTTCTTTTTCTGGATCCGCTAAATGACTATTAACACTATTTTCACTCCACCCAACCACCACCTCTTTATTCTTAGAACACAGCCTCATAATCAATAGAAAAATGGGCTTGTCAAATGCAATTTTAAAAATCTCTCTTCTTACAAACCAACCACATTATTCTTCACTTATTTTATTTCTGTATTCTCTTTCTCTCCTGTTCAGACTACTCCATCTGTCTGTAACCATAATCCCTTTTTTGTGTGCCTCCTCTATGTACCTACCCCTCCACCTTGCCCTTACCTTCAGATTATTTTTCTTTACTGGCTTCTTATCCATAGCCAACAAACATGCTTAAATGTTTTTTTGTCCAAAACAAATTGTTATGTTTAATCTCTCTCCTACTCTTAATAAGTTTCTCAGAAATTTATACTCACTGACTCCCCTTCATTTTAACCTGGGATAAAGAAATGCATATATTTCCTCAAATTATATACAAAATTTTTTCTTTTCCCAAATGTGTATCTTTAGCCCTACTTTCACTGTTTAACCATCTATCTTACTGTATAAACTTAGCTGCAGGAATTAATGTCATTTGATTTTACGGTTTGGGAATTTTTGTCATGTAAAAGTTGTGTAAGTCTTAGTGTCTCAGATAAGCAATATTTTCCTCTGCACTGACACCACAGGAACACTAGTTATAACCTGACAGTTGCTTTATTCTCGAAATATTTTTGCTGATTTCTCACTCACTGTAATGAAAGACCTCCATATGATGAACATATCATCAGCATGTGAGGCCTGGCAAACTCACTGGAAAGAAAATCAGTAAATAAACGAAACTGAAATAGTGCAGGCAATTCAATTTCTGTGGAAAACCTCTATAGAAAATGGAGGTGTTCACCAAACATTGCATTTGCTATACTGGAATTTTCACCTTGTATGAAATTGAAGCCTTGTGTATCCATCTTTTAAGGCAGAATATACCTGAGTTGCACTAATATGAAAAGTAGTCAATTCTCAAACACCTCATGCAAAACGGATAGAGGCTTCGTTTTACCCTTAAACCATTATAATCTGCTCTCAAACTTTGTAAAAATATTTAAACAAGGAGTAAAGTGGAAGCACTGAGTTTTGCCTCATTAAGTTTTGTTAACTAGAATTACCAGAAAGAGAAAAGAAAAGTCAGAGGCAGGAAGAATATTAAAAAAGTGTTAAGTCTCAACAATATACAGTCTAAACGGAAGTGTTTAAAGACAAGAAAAAACACACTAAGAGATTGGGATCTTGAATTTAAGAAGCACTCATATACCCGGGAATGATAATTTTTCTCATTACTTTCAGCCAATCTTGCAAAACTAGTTAATAAAATATATTCAGTAAAACTAAAGAAAGAGTTTGCCTCTAAAGTGAAATTTTCCATTAGGAGCCATTAATATTTGACAGATGCTTCCAATTCAATGAACAAATATCAAAAAATTTAAATTTAAAAAATTTAAAGAATTCTCTAGAATGTATGTGATACATCAGATAAATAAAAAATTTAGTGCTATATCTACATGCTTGGTGATTAACTAATCTGTAACAAATTCTAATTTTATCACCTCACAAAAGATAAATAAGTCTAAGGAAGATAAAAGTAGTATTTAGAATACAGTTTTTAAATCAAAGAAATACTCAAAAATTAAAATATTCACTAATTTTATAATTACATCACTTAAAAATAATCTTTCACATCTAACTTTATTTTTCATTAATTTTATTAAAGATTTTATATAAACATCTATTTGCCAACACTAGGTTTGGTTAAAAGTAGTAATTTTTTTTAATAATGTTGTGCTTTATTATTTTTTAAAGATTTATTTATTTATTTATACAAGCACTGGGTACAGTCAGAAGTGCGGGAGGGTGAGAGAATTCACCAGAGACAGAGTGGGGAGCAGAGCAGACAGGGGGACCGAAGTACACTGCTGAGGGGAGCAGCGGGCGGCAGGAGAAGTCTGCGCAGCCGGGGATCGAACTGGCGCCGCAGAGGCTGCGGGCAGCTTCGCAACCCAGCGCTCAACCACTGCACCATTGGGGAGGCCCTTAAGTTGTTAATTCTTTTGGGTGCTTACTGTTAATTCATTTGAGTGCTTGGTACTTGGGAAACAAAAGTAATCTAGACAATGTCTTTGGCTGCAAGGAGATTATGTTTTGGCAAGAAAACCTTTTCAAACTTGCCTTTCTTGGTTTAGTCCTATTTACACATTGTTCAAATTTGGATGGATGGGAAGTCTTTTGTGCTCATGTAGAAAACTGTGTGCATGTGTGCTGAAGTATAGGTATATGTCCCTGAGGCTGATCTGTGGGTCATGATAGATAATGTGGCAGAGAAAATAAAAATCATGAATATGGAGGGGGAAAGTTAATAGAATTTAACACAGTGGTTGCATACATCAAGCTTAGAAATGCAGCCCTAAATTTTAATCCTCTTAGGTCAGATCACAGAGCTATGGTAGAGGCAGGTAAGAATTCAAGCAGAGCAAGTAATGAAATAATAATATACAGGATTTGGTTTATGCACTTTTGAAATTAAGTACAGGAGACAAAATGTTACCAAGTAACACTGATATTCAAGGAAAGGAGAGAGAAATACATAGAGGGAACAGTGGGAAAGCAGGGTGGGTGATAGGAATTAGGGAAGAAGAGGTAATGGGCAAAAACACTTTTAATGACTTTCCCAGTTTCTTCATGGGCCACATCTTAGTTACCTTCTGTCTTTAGTTCTTCCACCCTACCTATCTCCCCTCTGCTACCAAAATGTTCAAGTCTTCACTATCCTGAGAAGTCTTCTGAAGATTTACCCTGTCATCTCAAGTTACGGTCCCTCTCCCATCAACCATATGAAAATAGTGGTCAACATTTGCTTTCTCTAGTATCGCCACACCTGTCTACTAGAGTAGCCCTTGCAGTCTGCTCTCCACACCATCATTCTATGAAAAATGTTTTCTCAGACATCAGCCACAATCATCTTATTGCCAAAACCACAGGCTTTACTTTCAGGCCTTGGCCTTGGTCAGCACAGGGTAAGTGCCTGGTTCTCAGAAAATTACATTATCTTGAACCTCAAACCTCCTTTGATACTGTTTTAGTTGTATACACACCTTTCTGAAGTACAATGTGTGGTGGAAAGTACATACATTGTGAAGTCAGACAGGTCTGAATCTGAATCCCAGTTTGGACATGACCTTGGATAAAGTGCTTGTCTTCCCAGAACCTGTGCCTTCCTCTTGGAATCAGGTTACCAACACTGACCTCACTGAATTGTGAGGATCAAATGAAATAATAAGTATATTACTGAATCTAATAAGCACTCATACCTGGGAATAATAACTTTTTCTCATTTTAAGCCAGGTTTGCAAGACTTGTTAATAAAATACATTCAGGGAAACTAGTTAAAGGAAGATTTGCCTCTCAAGATGGCATTATCTCAGAAAAGCAATTACCATATTTAGTTCAAAGAAGTTGTATTAATGAACACTTGGGATCTTTTCATGGGGGGCGGGGGGAAGGAAGTAAAAAAGGAAAACTTGATTCTAGAACTAGTACTTTAAAATTTTTCCTTGAATGTGATCTTAAGAAATCAGAAACTTT